ATTTCGTATTTCGTACTTCGTACTTCAGAAGTACGGAGAAGTACAAAAAAGTACGAAGAAGTACGAAGAAGTATCAAGAAGTACGGAGAAGTACCAGAAGTACAGAAGTATGCTTTTTCCCCCTTGTGATGGTAACACATTGACTGAAAAAGCTGGTCAGAAAATATTGTTTCTCAACTGGACACCACCGCAATTCAATGGCGACGATGATCAAACAAAATCGAGATTAAAAAAACAAGCACAAAAATTTATTTCGTCAGCAATGCAATATGTTACAACATATGTTAAAGAAAATCTAGAAACAATTGCATTTTCAATAAATGAATGGGAAAAATATCCATACAAAAAGCAGCTAGTCGACGAAATTCTTAACGAAATGAAACGACAACTTGAGACAAGGATCGGTTGCAGGTGGCGAATTCAATTTATTTTTGTGTCATGTGACGAATTATATAAAGTGTTTTTACGAAAAATTCTATCATTGCAAACGGCTCAAGATGGTTACGTCGACTTTTCCATACCAACACCAAGTACGCATGCTCATCCCTTGATTTCTCGGAACGTCCAGAGGAGACCTTAAGCCGGCTTTTGTTTTGTACTTTTTAGTAATTCAGATCACACTCTCAACTTCAAAAACTAATAATTTAATTAAATGTCGGAACACAATCAATAACTATATTAAAAAATCTGTTCACATAACCAAAAAACTGGATGATGCAGCTGATTTAAAAATGTTTGATCAACATCAGATTAATGCTTTTTACAAATATTGTATAGAGAATTCGGTCATTCCAATAATCATTCTTACCTTTGGTCAACAACAGCTAGAATTATCGGGTCCGATCCGAGCTGTTGAAGAAACGGAACAGAAATATTATATAATATCGGAAATATTAAAAAGGAAAGTTTTACCAGCTGCCTCTGAACTTTCTAAACCATTGAAGCCAGTAACCATTACTGATTCCTTCAATATCATGATAAGTTGTGGTCAACCGGATCAGAAGTTCTGTCAACGACTAAAAGATCGTCTTATTGATGAAGGTTATTTAGTATGTGTCAGTACGACCGGTAATCAAACATCATTAATTGATAAATCGGATTTAATCATCATCTATTTCACTGAAGATTATTCAAGAAATATTGAAGAACTGAAATGCGCTCAGTCTTTGGGAAAGAAACTGTTAACAGTGAAATCTGGAAAGCTATCATATAGTGGAAAATGTAATTGGCTACATTCAATGCGAACTCTGGAATTATCTTATGAACTGCTAAGTGTTGGAATCGATTTTGAATTAGATGAACATAATTTCGATCGAGAATATGAAAAGTTATTAGTTATAGTTGTAAGTGAACTTCGGTGGCTTGTACAAAGCGATCTTGTTGAATTTTTTGTTATCTTAGCTTCAGCATACTAAACCCGGAGTTATCGGTCAACCGTATCCATAACCACGAACTAAAACCGAAGGAAAATCTAACAACAATGATGAATATGAAGAACCGTATTTTACTAATGACTGTCAACTTGCTCGTTTGTCACAAATAACGGCTGAACAAAAAGTAGAACGAAAAGCAGCTTATGTAAAACAGTTGAAGAAATTGATAAAAAAGGATAAAATTCCAGCAGATGAAATGAAAGATTTAATGGCGTGTTGCAATACCATCATTACAAATAAACTGCCAGAGGACGACGACGCAGTTTCATCCTATCCTATAAGTATCCTATCCTATAAGTATTTTGGACAATTTAATTCAGACCGTAAGTTACACTTTTCAAATTATACGCTACCAATGTGTTTTATAAAACAATGATCCGCCACTGATTTTTCTTTGCCTCTTTAATGCTGGACCGATACGAGCGGTAGTTTCTAACAGTGAAAAAAGTGATAACTTTTGTTATTGAAAGAGACAAACAAAATGTGTACTCCAATTGTTGTAAAATGTTTAAACGGATCAAACTTTGGGAGTAACACCAGTGCAACTTCTCAAAGATTTTTTATGTTTTTAAAATTAATAGAGAAAGAAAGAGCACAATTACAAGGTTATGTAGATGAATTAATTTCATGTATAAAACGTTGGCAACGACTAGAAACCAATGTTTTAAAACAAAATGTGATACCATTCACCCCAACTGGTGATATTAATGATGCCATATTTTCAATGCCTCTCAATAATAAACAACCGTGGTGTGATTTTGAAGAGAAATCCAAATGGTGTGATCCACCCAACGATTATTTCTGTCATGAACCATGGCTCAATGGTTCTTGGTTTACGCTTGAAGAATCATTTGATTATTATCGTAAAGTAATTAATAAAGATACATTACGTCGTCTTCGTCGTCTTGAACATCATCAATTGATTATTGCAGCTGACGCTACGCTTCAATCTACTGTAACAGAAACTGAAGAACATCCAGTTTTTATAACAAAAATTAAAAAAGGTAACGTTGGTTAGGATATAAGAGATAACAGATTCTTAAAAGAACTAAATAGAAAAACATCGAATCCACATGAAAACGGTTGGCTTAAATTAAAACATCGTTATTTAGAAATGATTGAAGAAATTAATAAAGATGAAAATAATTCCGATTTAATACAACAATGTAGAATTGGTAATGAATTAAAAACAAAAGAAGAAATGCAAAAGCTTGAAAAACTTGATGATTTAAAACGAGTATGGAAAAAGCCTAAATGTTATCCTGAATTTATTGAATTGAAAAAACGAAATATAATTGAATTTCAAGAATTATGTCTAAGAACCACAGTAGCAGTGAAAAAGTAACACTTTTCCAAACCAGTGGTGCATTGTATAAATGAATAAAATGTTTACATTTGACTTGCTTTTTACATTTAGTATTTTCTTGAAACTAGCCTACCGACGTGATGACTCTACACCCAAGCATGAAGAAAAAATAGTATTTATTTAGATTGCTAAATTTTTACTCGATTGCAATTAGTTGATAAAGACAGTGAAATGTAGTAATCGAGCGATTGCTTAATCCTCAATTCTGGACCTATCGATTTACTCTTGATTCAACTTTTGTTAGTTACACATGCAGATGCATCTAGTTAAAAGTACCTTTTGCAACTAGTAATCTAAATGACATCTAGTAGTGGTATCGCTCGATTACAGACGAAATATATCTGTTTTCTCTATAGGTGATTTTCGCTTAGCTAATCAGTAACAGAGGTATGCGTTTTGGTTTGCAGCCCATTAGTAATATTAGTAGTTTTGCTTTAAAGTAAATTATTTAAAAAGATGAGCTAAACAAAAATCCCTTTGTTGAATCTTTGATGACATTATTACATTTTTAAATGAAACCGATAGTGAATCACAAGGTCTGCAGCTTCTAGCTGCTATTTGTCATGAATTAGCTAATATTAATACGTTGAAATTATTTGATAATCCTACGATTATTGATCATGAATTATTTATTTTTATACAGCATACATTTGAAATGTTACTGACAAAATCAAATTATTTACAATATTGTAAAATGACAAAAGTGGAAGAACAATGTTTTTATGAAATAAGTTATTTGGTAGCACATTTATGTTTATATCGAAATGAATCCTTGACGTGTTTCTACACACGAGGAACCATCAAACATCCGAAGTAAGTAGTTGATCTTCGTATGAAAAAGGGAACATTCATTTTTGAGACATTTGAATCTTAAATGAGAGGAATCCTCGTTGATGTTCTGTTTTCTGACCGTTATTGTTTAAAAAAACAAATGAAAAAGTATAAAAAGTCCTTCAACAACGGCGATCATTTCCTTACAAAATTCAGTTGATGAATAGCTGCTGTCTGTGTTTGTTTTAGCCAGATTCTCTGTACACTAGCTACACGGTGTGGAGTGATTCTAGTCCGTCGGAGATCGGATTTTCCGAATTCAAACATTTTTTTTCTGAGAATTCATTTCTGATTTGTCCAGATTAGGTTATAGTAAATGTCTCAGAACTGCGGAATGTCTCATTTTGTAGAGAAACGTTGGCTCTACAAAAGTGAAGTGCTAAAAAGAGTTTAATGTGATATATAGAAAAAATATGATTAATCAAAAACGCACAAAAAAATAATCGATCTTCGATTTTTTTTCGGTTCTGTCCATTTTTGAATATTTCAGTTTCTGTCACAAATAATATTAAAACCTTTTTAACGCTTCACTTTTGTAGAGCCAACGTTTCTCTACAAAATGAGACATTCCACAGTTCTGAGAGATTTAATATAATCAAGTTGTAACGGTTTTCCTGAATGCTCCAACATCGATTATTAATCGGTGCATCCCTAGTCCAGATTATAGAGCATGTCGAATTACCTATATAGAAAATCTTTTTTGAATACCGGTCATTCCTGATCGAATTATGGTCAGGAAATGAACGATGATCGAAAAATATTTTCTACATAGGTAATTCGACAATTCTCTATATACGAACAGCAGCGACTCATCAACTAAATTTTGCACAGGAAATGATCAGTGTAGTCGAAGTACATTTCTGATATCACAAGTTCATTTACAACGTCATCGTTTTCCTCACATGTTCTCTATGATTTAATTAGTTACTACTTCTCGTTTCGTCTGTTAACAAGAAACTGGTGTCACCTGTCGTCGCCGTCAATAAGCGAATATTTTATGGTTTTTACTGAGATTGCTTAAAAGTTACATGATACTTATTGATCTCTTAATACAATTTCTTACTTATTAGTGAACTAAAAATAATCGATGATAAACATACTGCTGATAAAATACCCCGTATCAATCATTATAAACACATAGTACCATCAACAAAAGTTATTGCTAGCAAGTTAATTGAAATTGATAATCAGAAAGACATCGTTGACAATATTTCTCACATTAATCATCATCAACATACACTTGTGCCACTAGTAAAACTTGTTGGTGGTAAATTGATAACTCTGAAAACAGAAGTTGTTGCTAGTCAGCCGAAATATGAGATATCTGCACCTTTACCAAAAGAAGTCGAAAAACCATCATTAAAATATGATAAACAATCATATCAAGATATATTTATAACAAAACGGTTTCTTACTAAACTCGCTCAAACTATTAATGATTTAGCCAAAAATGAGTATGATGCACAACACGTTATATATAAAGTTGTTGATCGACTACTTCGTCTCTGTTCAAAGTTAAACGATATTGATATCGATCTTCTACTAGATCCCATTGTTAGATGTCTTCTTTCAAAATATTATCTAACCGTTTTTGATACAGTTGATCTTCGACAACCGTTATTTGATCCAAAGCAGTTATTTTTCATTTGTGAATGTCCTGATTTTATTGTACAGCATGGATATAAACGACAAAATAAAATAGCGATGGAATTATGTAAACCAATGTTGAAAAATACTCAGCTAATATTTGCTAAACATTTATCAATTATTCTTGAAGGTGATAATATTATTGATCCACCATATAATATTTGGAAAAGAAATAATAAAAGTAAAGAAAAAGGTGCCCGAATGCAAGCATTAACGTGTCATATTAAACTGTTGAACTATTTCGCTCTGACTCCATCAACCAAGAAAGAATTTTATTCTGATCTTTTAATCGATAATATTAGTTCAATATTGGGTACACCAGCATTGATTGATAGTGTACATCGAAATCATCAATTATTTCATGTTGATGTTGGATTTGTAGCTTATTGTGTTATTTTATTATATAATTTAGCGTTTGATAAAGAATTATTTAAAATATTAAAAGCGAAAAGCGTCATTGACATCTGTAAAACATTACATACAGCTAAAGATGATACAATACATTTTGCATCACAAACACTTTCAACAATTCTTCAACAAACAGAAATTGATCAAATTAAAGAGCCATATCCTTTAACAGAAGGATATTTGTATTTTATTGAAAATACAATTGATGAACCAAATCGGATATATCATGGTGTTCAATTAGAAGGAGTATTAGAAGATTTAGAAAGTAAGTTTCTTTTGATAAACAGTGTTTGTGAAAAACAGGACTTTTAAATGAAATTAGAAATTGAATTTTACAATGGCTATGAAGTGATCAACTTTTATTCAGCAGCAATAATAGCCTGATTCTATAACCTCAAGAAAACAGAGCCAGAATGTTGAGAAAGCAGAGAAGTAAACCAGATCAGAATGGGGTTAGCACAACTTGGACTTTTTAGAACCCTCGGATTTTTATATAAAATCTGAAATTACAAGGTCTTATCAGCTTATCACTTCAAAGTTCAAGCGGCTTGGTGTATCGTACGATCACTATGAGAACAGATCGAATGTTAGCTTATTTTTTTACTAAACGATTAGTCTAACGTGTGAAAATGGAAATGTAAAAATGAGTAGCGCATAATTGAAAAACAGTATATCGACCGTAAAATCGGTAATAAATAGGCTTATTTAAAATTTTCTATTTCAGGTTGTTTTAGGCTTAGATCAACCATAATTATTTCCTAAAAATATCCAATTTTGCTAACTTAGCTTTGCTGAAAAATGTTTTTGAGAATCTGTACGATTCAGTTGCGGACGCATTCTGCGATTTTCTTCTCTATCCGGAAGTTTTAATCAAATGCAATCTGTAATTTATAATCCTGGCCAAATTTCCAATCTAATAAGATATTGCACAACAATTTTCGCTCACTTTTGCTTTCTAGAGATGATACAGTCGCTCAAGAGCAGCTTTTTTGTTGGCAAATCTTATGTAACACTTCATTCGATCCAGTTTTCGGCTACGATTACGAATATCTACTAGGTGTGAAGTGAAACCTTAAAGAAAAAGAAAAAGTTGAAAAATACTTTCCCATATGACTCGTACAGTTTCCAAATATTATTTCGGCTTAGACAAATTAATCAGATTTGATATTTGCAGAAAATGTTTTTGAATAAATCTGAAACAGAATGAGACTGAGCGTTTTTAAAAATCTCATGTGCCCTTGATGCTATGTTTGATAAGGCGTTTTTCGATCATTCGGCTTGTCGAAGCCGCCTATCAATCAAAATAATTTTTAATTGATTTTTATTGATAGAACTCATTTCTAAATTATTTAGTCATCCAAAAAATTATTTGTGAAAAACTGTAAGCCTATATTCTTGATTTTTGATCTGAGGTGTCTACTAGGACCTTTATGCCTTTCGGACTTGGGTAACAGAATGCGTCAAGGGCTGATATTTTCAGATTTTGTATAAACTCGAGAGCTGAAAAAAATTAGGATTATTTCGTTTTATTGTCGGTTGGTTTACTCCTAGTTTCATATCGATTTATCGAAAACTCGTAAGAGAGCAGTTCTTTAATTCTCCCATGCAGACGAGAAAAGTCATTCGAGGTGTGCGACGAGTATCCGAACATAGGTTCTCACCGAGTGCTCAACTCCTCAAAAAATGAGACTTCGGTCCGTCGATATAAACGTTCGAGGGATCATCGATTTCGAGCCCTCGGGTTTCAGAAAGGTAGCGAGCCCTAGAGAAAAATTCCCAGCCGTCGAATAATGTTGATCGGGACTTTCTAATCGTTGTTCTGGGCTTTCGAGTCCTCGTGGTACTCGGGCAACGTCTCTTCGTCTGCTCGGAAGTCCCGAACATCTTTCTTCGACGGCTCGGTATTTTTCTTGAGGGCTCGCTGCCTTACTGAACCTTAGTTTTTTTGGAAAAGCTGTATATTGATCTAGGAGAATTCGTGTATACGTGATGTATGCAGGATATGTGGACGAACATTTTGATGTAATTCGAAGTCGAATTAGACTTTAGGAAAAGTCAGGATTTTTACTGCGCTGGAGACGTCAGTCGAAAACACTCTTCCGTTTAGGAAAACACCAGTTTTCTCGTTAGCGCTTAACTCTGAGACAATATTTTTTTTCAATATTGCGGGCGAAACAGTGCAGATTTCGAATCTCTATACCTCATAACTTACCATATAGTCCTGAATACAAAAAAAATTTGCCGGCGAAAGACGAGTTTTAGCGGATCTTTTTTCACTCACAGGTTTTTCCCGGAAATCCGTCAGCCGGAACAAAGCTTTTTTTGCCATTAGATAGCCCAAACTTTGAAGTATTTATGAGGCTATTTGAATTTTGAAAAAGCTTACTTTCGATTTTTCTTCCAATGTGCGCCCGCGTGCCCACTTTGCATGTCAGTCGATGCAGTGTTTCGCGCTGAATCCAAATATGTATAAATTGTAGGAAGAAATAACCTTCGAATAGAGAAAAAACAATTTTACACGGAAAACCAAGGATTTTTGGAAAACCTATAACTCCGTATAGAAAAATTTTGGCGTTTGGTGGCATTCACCATGGATGTAGGGCATCGAGACAAATATTTTGGCCTAAAAATGAGTGAGATTAGGCCTCCGCAAGTCGTTTCGATTGTACTGAGAACATCGTTTTTCCTAGCGTTTTCTATATATGACCGTTTTTTCTTTATCGAATATTTCCTTGAGGAAAAGTCGTAGAATAAAACTTTTTGCGACATTCAATAGAACATTTAACGAAGTACTTTTGACTGTATTCAAATCACAAAACAGCCCTTTTTCGATTTTTGATCAAATGTCCGTCTATATACCTACTGTGTGCAAGGGCTCCTCGAAAGCATATTTTCGGGTACTCCAAATACCCCTCGTAAAAACGCCTGGATCAAAATGAATAATTCCAGTCTTACGT